TAATTTAATTTCTTATTGTGGTCATTTTTCTATTTGTCTTTGTGTACAAAATACTGTGTTTGTGTTTATATAAATATATATATATATATATATATATATATATATATATATATATATATATATATATATATATATATACATATATACATATATACATATATATATATATATATATATATATATATATATATATATATATATATACATATATACATATATACATATATACATATATACATATATACATACATACATACATACATACATACATACATACATACATACATACATACATACATACACACACACACACACACACACACACACACACACACACACACACACACACACACACACACACACACACACACACACACACACACACACACACACATATATATGTATATGTATATATATAAACACACATCTATACATCTATATGTATGTATATATATATATATATATATATATATATATATATATATATATATATATATATATATATAAACTGGTTTGAGGCCTGGTTAAGGAGGATTATAATATATCTATATCAGTGCAGCAGTGCATTGTTCCATCTTATTCCATATGTATATATTATATATATGTATATATAATATATATGTATGTATATATAATTATAATAATTATAATAATTATAATAATTATAATAATTATAATAATTATAATAATTATAATAATTATAATAATTATAATAATTATAATAATTATATATATATATATATATATATATATATATATATATATATATATATATATATATATATATATAATGTATATACACATATACACACACATATATCTATACATATACATATATATATATATATATATATATATATATATATATATATATATATATATATATATATATATATATATATATATATATACATATATATACACATATTTATATATATATATATATATATATATATATATATATATATATATATATATATATATAGATATATAGATATATGTATATATATATATATATTGACACTTGATTCCTACTGTATGAGGTTATGGCAGAAAGACTGATATTTTTGTAAATATTGTTGCTGTGTGAGCCTCTTGGTGCAAACAGTGTAACAACCGAGCAGGAAGGAGCTGAAGGCTATCAGTTATCCCTGTATAAACGGAGAAGTGCAGCAGGTTTAGCGGAAGAACGACTGACTGCTTGTCTTTCCAGTTTTTGGTTGTTTTATGAGAGAAATCGTTAAGACTTTATTTATCTAATGAAACCAAAATTTCCACTTTTGATGTTGAAAAAAAAATTGAAGGGTGCATTTCTTTCTTTCTCACGTGTTTGGAGTTTTATAAAAAGGAAAAAAAAAAATTGTTTTTCATAAGTCAGATTCAGATTGATAAGTATTAGAAACATGTAAATGAGATTTGAAATTTTTTTTGGAAGCTTAATTAGTGCACGTAGAAATTATCCATCTCTAACAAACCAAAAGTTCACCGGGCAATGATGTCATTTTAAGATCAACATTACCGGTACAACCAAAGCAGCTACCGAGCCGGGATGAATCCGCGTTCACACGAGGCGCACTTCTCCGATTCTACAGGTATGTTAGAGGCGGTACGGAGTGTACAGGTATGTCACTTTGTAAGTGCGGTGCCCCCATTGTGGTCGTATAAGCATGTGTGGTAGGAGTGATATGTAGCAAGTCTTGTGGTTGTGGAAACTGTAGTTGTGGTGTGGAAGGAGTTTCACAACATATGTTGGGTATTTGTTTGTTTTTTTATTTGATTTGAGTTTTTTTTTTTTTTTCTTTTTTTTTTTTTACTCTTGGGAAGTGGACATTGGAATCATGCGGTGCTGCTCCCAACTCATTCATACTTAGTGACGGTGATAGGTTAAAAAAACACTTCAAGATTAGAGTAGACAGTAGACAACTAGCTTCTATGTATACTTCTGTTCATTTTGTGTTTCTCTTATTATCATTACTATAACATTTACAGTTAACAGATTGTTGCATTGAGATCCCAACCAATGGGTCCTAAAAGGAATGCTAAATGGGACGTTTTTCTCCCTCAAACCAGCCTGGTGGAATCTGGCCGGCCTGCAGCAGATGGAACTCCTGTCCCGCTTGCAGGGGGGCCTCGGGGGGAGTGGGGGGGCGGGGGCTGCTGCTGCCGCTGCTGCAGGCCTCGGAGGCTTTGGCGGCCTGCATCCCGAACACTTGATGAACCTGGAAATCCTCCAAGCACAACATGGTCAGTGTTGCCCGAGTTTGTTCGTGTAATTGCTTTGTCACTCGTCACTTTTTCTCGTAAGGAAATGCATGACCTGATGAATTGTATTATAAAAACTCTTTTGGCTTGTATGTTCCCAAATGGAGAACTGATTAGCTTCTTGTAATGACCGAGCGATGTGAGCCAACACTAAGGAGTCTTTTTCCACAGCAGCTGCCATGGCTGCAGCCTTAGCCACAAGTAAGGCCTCAACTAGCAGTTCCAAACACTCTAAGAA